AATTTTTTACATTCGTTTCATTCGCAGAACCATCTGTAGCAGGGAGGAGGCGCTATATTCTCTTTAGCATTTGAGGAGCCAACGATGCTGAAGCCAAAGTCTGGCCATGCTACCTATGAACGAAAGAAACCTAGAAATAGTCGCATTATTTAATGGCTGCGGAAAGTGAAACCGGTATGAAAGTACTACTGCTCCTTCGGCTTAGCGCATGTCAAAAAGGAAATCCATAACATACGAAAGTGGCCCCAGATAGAATCAAAGGAATTTTTTCAGAGGTTACAAAGCCCAAACTATTTGGGTGGAAGGTCGAGGATAGACAATTGCCGATAGACTATCGCAAAATGTTCTGGTCTACTGAACAAATACGGTCAGCTCAGGGAACCAGCCTGCACACGGTAAGACTGCGGCGTGAGGGTTCCACACTGGTTAACATTACCATCAATAACTTCCTTCTGAAATAAATGAGTATTGATTGTGAGGACTCAGAGACAACAAGTGGCTTTTTAAGGCAGGCAATAGCCCACTTGGTGGTATTCCTAATCTTTTGGAAATTTTGAGAATGCTAGTAGACAGCTAGAGGATGACTATTAGAGCGAAGAGGGAGCTCACCATTGATTTGCCTTTAACCGCAAGTTTAGAAAACTATATTTCCACAGGATAGAACCTTCATTCTCAAATATGTGTGCACCTTTCTGAACCAAAGAATTGCCTGCATGACCGCAGAATAGTCCCTGCGTTTTATAATTGAATTAAATTTAAATGCGAACTGTACTCGTTCCTGTACAGACAAATCTGGACAGACGAAAATCATCGAAACGAATGCTTAAAATAGAAAAAGTCACACCATGAAATCGACAACTTGTTAAGATATGAACTGTCTGCGTCGCGACACAAGACGATAAAGAACTTTCAGCACGAATATTATCTGCTACGAATGGAATGAAATAAAAAGTAGTGAGTGAGTTGTGGGGTGTCGTAGGCAGAGTGGGCTAAAAGCGTTGAACAACTGCCCAGTAAGTGACCGAGTGTGCAACACTACTAGCTGCAAAACCTATAGAAATTGAAACAAAATACGTTGAGACAGCAAATAAATCCAAGCTTCAAGTGAAACGCGCATGCGGCTCGATTTCAGAGCCACGGTCAACCGCAACGATTGCCAAGTGACTTTAACGACATTCGACCGATACAATCAGCGGCGAGCAACATGAACGTCAGCGTAGGCTGCAGCTATGGCTATAACGTGCCACAAGTGTGTAAAGGTGCGGCAAAATAACGTAGCGAGCAAGGAAGGGTGACCAGTTGTAAAGCTGCGTCACCTCTTGCCCTCCTTCCCACACAACCCTTCAGAACGCTGTCTTAGTTCAGTTACTAGAATTTTGGGCTATTCATTGGGCTGTACGTTGAGCGCGGCAACGATCATTGATAGCATCTGGTAAGAGGATCACAACGGTAGGATGATTGCTGTGCGCCACCACATGGCCTGATGGCTTTCGGTATTGTGGCCGAGATGCATGCTTGCAGTCAAAACAAACACAAAGGAAATTAAAGTAAAATAAATATTAAAGTAAACACGCCAATGCTTTTTGTTTCCAAAGCATACATACATACATACATACCAAGATATTTACGCGTATATCAGTCGGCCAAACTGAGGAGCAGCTTTTNAAATTAAAGTAAAATAAATATTAAAGTAAACACGCCAATGCTTTTTGTTTTCAAAGCATATATACATACATACATACCAAGATATTTACGCGTATATCAGTCGGCCAAACTGAGGAGCAGCTTTGCCACGTACATAAATACGCACCATTTAAATAAATATTTACTGGACATCACAAGTAAAACTTAGTCGACCGATAGTGCATCGTCGTCTGTACGTCAATCGAAGACGAGTGATGACCGCATTTCCGTTGACTGTAGGAAAGTGAAGTACTCGCACCATTTGGAGCGTCAAATGAGCGCACACACAGTTCAACAAACAAGCCTACACGNCGCACCATTTAAATAAATATTTACTGGACATCACAAGTAAAACTTAGTCGTCCGATAGTGCATCGTCGTCTGTACGTCAATCGAAGACGAGTGATGACCGCATTGCCGTTGACTGTAGGAAAGTGAAGTACTCGCACCATTTGGAGCGTCAAATGAGCGCACACACAGTTCAACAAACAAGCCTACACGGCAGCCTAGTGGAAGCGGCACATACACACACACACACACACACACACACACCCTTACGCGCTCACGCCCTTTTGCCTGATGAAACCACTATTCCATCCTACTCTGCTGCAAAGCCTAACCCACCATTGATCTGTTTGATTTTGGCATGCGACCCATCCATTTGCACCTCCGCTCAACCAAACAGTCGAAGAGTTGTTATCCACAGCTGTCTAGTGAATGCTGTTTGTCTGTATGCCGCGTCTGTCCAGCACGCTGATCAGCGCATGGAGATTTAAGACAGTTTAAGTGGATTTGCGATCTCAACGTTAGCATCAGCGTCGTCCTTCGCCATCATTGGGATAGTCATCACTGTGAAGTTTATACGCTGTTGGTTTTTTGGTTTGATTTAGATGCTGCCGTCAATGTGGTTGTAAATATTTTATGCCTTTCATAAAAATACTTTAAAATAGAGAATATAGAATTGATTTAAGTTTATAATTTAAGAAGCTACAAATCAGTTCAAAAACATAATCAAATAACAGTTCCTCTCTAACCAAAAATTAAAAAAAAAAATTCTCATGAGACCTGGTCTTAAGAAACCAAACATGGTCCTTCCCCCAAGGTTTGCTCTTGATTTTAAAAGCTGCACTAGAGGTTGACGGTTAGCGTAAATATGTGGAGTGGAAAGTGAAGGCAACGCACATCTACACAGATGATTCTAAAATGGACGAATGAGTAGGGGCTACAGTATACTGCACCGAACTGTAAATAATAGTTACCAGATCATTTCAGTATCTACCAAGCCAAGATCTTAGCAACAAAGAAATCTGCAGAGATACTACACAAACTATAAGCAGACTAGCAATACAGATGGGTGCGAAAGGTAATGAGAGAGCTGGAGAGATAACCAGGGAGGGCGTCCTGCTTAGACCAGGGTTGCAATGCATCTTGTAATGGACATTATATTTGTCTATGTGAGACCTTCTCTTATCAGTCACGATAGTCTAACCTAAGCTTGGCCCGGATTTCACTTTTTGAATCGGAAATGTATCTTCTTAGAAAAGATCTTTAAGTTTTCTGTCACTCACTAATAAGCTATGTTATAGCCTATTTCGACAAAAGGCTTAACTGCAGTTAAGAACTCAAATAAGTTCCAACATCGGCAAAGTTTGTTTCTCAATTTTTTATTTTTTCAATTCCTTTGCGTGAACTTGATATGAGCAACTACCTCCTTCGGGTTGTAATCACCTTTTTCCAATAGGTATAAACCGCTGTGAAGGCTTGGTGGAAATAAACTATAAGTTCTCATTACATTCAAAGCCAATAATTGTTTGATTTTTATAAAGAGATCTTTTCTTTTTTGGGATCATACACAAAAAATTACCTTTAGATTCGAGCAGTGTGGTGGAATTATACCGGGAGACTTGTGCTTTAAGCAAATCACTTCGTAGGATGTTTGAGAAGCGCATTTAGGTATGAAAAAGATACGAATGAAAGCGTCAATAAAAACACGAGTTGTTCAATTATAGTGTGTTGCATACTTAAAGGCCCATAAGTAAAGAGGTAAAGTAAATAATCGCAAGAACCTCAGAAATTCTTCATAATTTTTTAACATTTTATGAAAATTGAAATTGAATTTAATATGAAAAAAATGGACCTGATGAAAAAGTAATGAAGTGTTTTTCGCAAGCAAGACTCAACGACACGTCTACGCAATTTTTTTTCTATTTTCTACAAATTTTATCAATGCTTTCCATTTTATATAAGGTATGAAATTCTCTGCGTATTTTTTGTCTGCAATTTGGATTTTTTTGCATTTCATTGTCTCGAACAAACTGCATTCTTTTGTTGCTGTTTGTTTACTTACTTACTTGTGGTCTAAAAATAATTACGCTTACCTTCGTTCAGTGTTTTGCGTAGGCGCAGTTGGGTGCGTCCAGCAGCATTCCTTCATACAGGCAGTAAATATGAAAACTCATTCCGTATATGTATCTGCATACATACATACATATGAATATGTATATCAATTGGGAACAATTTTCTCTTGTCCGATTTGCTTCAAAATCAGAACCCTTATTAGTAACATATTGGAGTATCTACGATGCTTTCCATTTTAATTTAACCGGGCGATTGTGGAAATGATTTTATTTTTCAACGAATTTACGTACATATGTTGCTCTTTAGTTTGGATAAAAAAAATTATATATTAGCTTAGAATTATTACATTATTTAACAGGATGTATATCAATCAATTTAACAACAGAGGGCCAGAGATCCTTACATATATTTTGGAATGCTAATAGACTTCAAAGACATCGTGAACATATTGATGACAAGCAAAATGAAAAAGTATGTAAAAAAGTTAAGTGGTCGAATTTCGACAGCTGAGCGATTCTAGTACTCATAAATATATCGTCAATGTTTTTGCAAACCCGCCTAACATACGATACTCAAATTTTACAAGAGAGCGAAAATCCGGGTTTTCTTTGAAGGCATTGCCTTTTTAGGCGGTATTTTTTTTTACGATTTGTATGTATAAATCTCGATGCCTGTAGTTCAGGGTTACCAAATCTCATTTTTGCCACAACGGCGATTTGCAACTGATCTATGGCGGGCGCCGGGTTTGCAACTGACCTATGGGCGGTTTTGGTATATAAGTACGCCACAATAAATTTTTTAAACCACTTTTTCAATAAATTAAATTTTTTTAAACCCCAAAATAAAACTTCAGTTTTTTGATAATCTGCTCCCAGTAGGTACATATATGTACATATTTAGATATATTATTGCACTTAATAGATACATTCACATACAATTAAGTTTTTGGTATAGATACTAAACAGAATCAACACGTTTTTGTGCTCTTTCAACAATGCCCTTTAATTTTCTCGAGCCACAGCCCAATCGTCATATTTGTATTACACTTCAGCGATTCCAAAGCCGCAGTTAAGCATTACGATGGGTTTATTCTAGCAGCTGATTACACTTTTAAGCAGCTACACGTGCATGCGGGTTTCATGATAAATTATGTAAATATTGTACGAGTAGCTTCATAGAATTAGAATAATGTGACAACAACTCCACCAAAGCAACTAATTGCGCTACCGCAATTGCTACAAACTTCATTTGTTATGCAAAACTTCTAAATGATAAGAAGTTAGTCATGAAAAAAAGCTAATTAACGAAATATTCTAGCAAACACCAGGCGTATAATTTTACGGAATTTCCGACAACACCAAAGATAACGGCGCACCAAGCGGGCCTGAATACGCTCCAAGAGGTTCGAATTTAAGCGATGACAACATAGCTCCAACACTAGAATGCCAGCTGAAATTTAGAAGAAGAAAAAACAAAGCAATTGTACAATACAAGTTTAGCTGAAGATACAAATATGCGGGCTCTTACACTGCGAGAAAAAAAAGCGCCATTAAAAGCAAAAAAAAAAAAAATAAAAACAAATGCCACTCACTTGCGGCTGCATAACCACAGAGTAGCACAATGAATGCTCCTTGCAACATGCGCAAATTGAGCGGTTGTATAATTTGTGAATCCTGTGATTTGGTGGCAGCTTCTGCACTCTCATCTCCCTTGCCGTTGACGTCGTTGCCGGCATTAGCGTTTCGGTTATCATCGCTGGGTGGGGGCTCATTGTTAGCATTTGCATCGGCCGCCGAGCTGGGATGCAGGCTGTTGTATTCCTTGCCCAACATGCGCGATTGTGTGGCATATTCGGCATTTGTCATTTTGTCTAAGATGCCGCCTTCAAAGAGGTGAATGATGCTGTAAAAGGGAAAGAAGAAAGTGTGAGCTATAAATAGAAAAAATGAAATGAAGAGAAATGAAGGGAAATGAAATATAATTAAATATTGGGAAGTGCAATGAAACGAAATGCAATGGAAGGGAATGAAACGAATTAAAATGAACTGAAATGAGACGGATTTAAATAAAATTAAATGATACGGAAAAATGTCGAGTGCAATTTAAGGAAATGAAACGAAATAAAATAAGTTGAAATGAAATTAAAAAGCAATAAAATGAAAAGAGACATATAGGAATCGAATTGAATGAAATGAAATTAACTGACGTAAAATCAGATAATGCGGAAATGGTGTGAAATGAAAGGAAAATGTTGGAACTTGAATGAAATAAATCGAACGATTTGAAATGAACTGAAATAATATAGCATAA